ACAAAACGACGTGAAGGGATACTTTATAAAGATTTGTCTTATACCCGATGGGGTAGACTGACACATTCGAGCGACTATGATTTGAAACGCTACCAACTGAGTTACTCCCTAGGATACCTGCAGATCGGGTACTGTCCCCTACAATATACCTGGTCGGGTATCAAACTCTGCCAGCTCAAAATCCCTATAAAAGCACTCCTCTCCTTACCGTTTTAGATATCCAATCTTTCATATACTCAAACTTAGTTTAGCTAGAATAGTTATTTCTTTTATTAGCATGTTTAGTCTTCAAATTAGAAGCTAAACTCATTTATCCTGGTTTTGCTCTTGAAACTTGTTGAATGGTAAAGTTGCCAGTTCTTTTCTTAAACTTCTCTTCTTAAATATAAATTTTTCCCTTAGCCTATCTATATATTAATGTTGAGGCATTCCTAACTTACGGTTAGTTAACATTTTAACATTGATAAATATCACAAACGATCAATTAACTGATGGTTAATCATTGATGGTTTAATTTCACAATAAGTAATTTCTAGTTATTAATGCATGATCCCATGGTTAGTCATCTTAGAGAGATTAATTGTATTGATTAAATCAAAACTGTTGTGTTAAAGTTTTCAATTTCAATTAATTTCATTAAAGAGTTAATAGATTAAATGTTACTATTAAGTCGATGTTTGGTGGCGTTCTATACTTAGCTTTAGCTAAAAGGTTTGATGGCACGTATGGTCCACTTACTTGCACGAGTTTTTGATAACGTTGGTCCAAGGTTGAATTAATGGCTTCTTAACTAATTAGGCTAACCGCAACCCATCTCCGTCAATAAATCAAATTTATCATCACTTTATACGTATTCACTCAGTCAATTCAATTTTTACTGCAACCCAGTACCGTCAATATATTCACACAACAAAATTATTTTCAAATATTTCCTTAATTTTATTATTACACATCAAGATTTTATTCAATTTTTTTATTTTGAATAATTATGATTTGAAAAGTCAAACATTTCGATGTAAATAAATAAATAAATTTGGACTTTAGTTTTTTAGTGGTTAATTTAGACCTATTTTTTAAAGAAAAATAATAGAAAGTTGTAAAGAAATATTTTAACCATGAGATTTTAATTTTAATATGAGATATTACCCGAAATAGGACTAAAAATGTTTGAAAATTCCAAAATAAGACTGCCATATTTTTATTTCCAAAATAGGACTAATTACTGTCATGTTTTGGCAGTACCAGACTTCTAACATGGCAGTATTTTCCAAACATGGCAGTAATTACTCCTATTTTGGGAATAAAAAACTTGTCAGTCCTATTTAGGAATTTTCAAACTGTTTTAGTCCTATTTCGGGAACTTCCCCTTTTAATATTTGAAACTATTAAAGAAAAAGTTTAGATCTAAAAATCTAGAACAGTTGAAACATCATATTTTTTTTGAACTCTATATATCCAATATTGGTGTCATATGAAAGATTATAAAAGGTTATGAATTTTAATATACTTTTTATAAAAATTGGAATACAAATAAAAAAGTTATGATCCTTTAAATAAAATTGGGATTATAAATTTGGATGAGACCATGCATGCTTTCCTTTCCATACGTCCAAGCTGCTGTTCTTTTGTCTCTTCCGCGAATAACGTAGCACGTATCCACTCCACCAGTGCTCTCTAGCCACTTTAGCACCATGCTATACGCTGGGTTGCAGCCATATTTGGGGTCAAAAGCTCAAATATAGCCTTTTCACCCCAGGATTGCAATCAGCCTTAGTCTCTGTCCAAGTTTTGTTGTGCCTCTATTTTCTTAATTGGTCACCACATTCCGCCAACATTGGGTTCCTCCACTGTTTGTTGTCCTATTCGCCCGGACCTATACTGAGTAGTAGATTTTGTCTCCAAGAACTAATTTTTCCGTACTTACAGCAATCAAAATACTCTACTAATACGTCGCAAAAAAAAATACTCTACTAATGGTGGATAAATCCTTTTTCCAGTGGAAGTACGGGGTAGGAACTTAATTTCGGACATCCGGAATAGGAAAGATTGAGCCTAATTTTGCGACAACATTATAAAGCTCCAAATATCCAATCTCACCATCTCAATAGACCGAAATAAATAGTACTCCGTATGCAACAAGTATGCATTACGCCGTCATGTTCACTATAAAACAAGTTGTTTAATAAATGGTCGCGATTCTCTCACATTTTAGATGAGTTAATTCTTAACGATTGTCACGTTAATGTATTCTGTTGTGAATAAATTCTAATAAAATTTTCAACCTACTCACCTCGGATTATTACTAACAATCTAATTACTCATTTGTCCCTTAAAATGTTCTTGTTACAGTTTCTGATGATTTCCTGATTATAATATTACTTCCTCCTTGATAATAACCAATTATTAATAGTTTTTTAGTACGTAGTATAAAATTATGGAAACTACCATAAAAGAGGTTCTCAATCTCAAAATTTGAATTAAGAATACTAATAGTGAATGATAGCTTCAAATGGAGATAAAAAAATCTTTTTGTATGCACCACTTTTACTGTTTACACACATGTAGACACACTTGTGAAGATATTTTTCTCTGTGAATACACTGTCATGTTTTATATGTGAACAAAGTTTCACAAACAAAAATACATTCACATACGTGAGTACATGTGTAAAAGTGTGTGAATATTAAAAATATATACATCAATATCAATAATAATTCTTAATAGAGATATATGGTACGATATTATTGATATACGGAGTAGTAAATATGACTTGTACGGTTGTACATATTATCAAAGGTTGCTTAAAATGCTTTCTTTGATTTAAAATTTAAATCAATGTATAAGTGCGATAATTAAAAGGTTTTTTACAAGAATATTATTAAAATAAAATGTATTTACATAAATATGACTATTCATTACTACAATATAGTGTTGTGGTAACTTATGTTCAAAACTTGAACATGAATTACTATGATTTCATTACTACTCTGGTAATTAATCATATTTTTGTTAATCATCTTTATTTTGATCATATGTATGTAATTATTTCTAATTAATTAAAATTCCTTGTCATTTAACCAATTTATTGGTATAGGCTTATTAGGGTTAATTGTACCAGACTTGTGAGTGAAAGACCCAGATTCCCAGATTTGTCAGCCTTTTTGTCGAGGGAGGAGTGAATGAGTGAGAGAGGAAGCAGTTCTGGTAGCAATTACTATTGGTAGAGTACGGACAATTTAATCCAATCAATCTCCATCTTTCTTCCTTTTCCCTTCATTGCTCTGTACTATTGTCCTACCTCACCTACAAACCTTTGAAAATTTTCAACGGAATTTTTTTCAGATGCTTAATGCATTGGAGTAATTGGACTCCCAATATACGTTAAGCCTAACCCTTCTCTAAATAACTCAAATTATCTCTAACTTCATACATAGATACTATTCATTACTGTTAATATTCACTCCGCAGAGTTGTTTTGAATTAAATCCTTAATTTTTGTTTATTATATATCGATTTTTTCAGCTCGCAAAAACAAACTAATTTTGATGTTATCAAATGAGGCAATGAGCTCTAAAACATGGAGAAAACATACTAATATCAAAACAAAAAATGAAATAATGCAATATATATGTTGACAACATTTTTTATGTACATTCAAACTTGACATCTATTCATCAATGTTAACCTTTTAACCTTTCATCATCAATAGATGTCGCAGTAGATTGTACACACATAAAATCCTACTCCCTCCGTCCCCTTTTAAATGGGACGGGAGATGGTGGCACGAGTTTTAAGAAAAGTGAGTTTGTGTGGTTGATATTAATTGATAAAGTAAGAATAAAGTAAGAATGATTTTGAGCCACACAAAGTTTACCAAATAAGGTATGAGGCAATTAAATAGGGACATCCCAATATGGAAAAATGGGACATTTAAAAGGGGACGGAGGGAGTATAAAAGTAGACACGGGATTATTGAAAAATTGGAGGTATATCAGTAATATCACCATGCGATCGTGGATAAATTAGCAAGGATAAATGTGTTCAACCCCTCACATCAAAGTAGGGGCGGTCCTCATTCTCCGACAACGTTAGTGTATACGGAGTGAAAATATACGTATGAATGTGTTTACTCCACAAAGGTTGCAAACACTAAACACACAAACATGGTAGCTCACTTATTTGATGAGTGTTGGAAAAAATGGAAGAATGACCAAAGTTCAAAATCTTCAGGACCGTGTGAAGGTTACAACTTTTGTGTGATGGGCTAGACCTCTAGTGTAGACGGGTATAGAGCTTACCATCATTGGACCGATTGAGTCGGTGAGATTTACATCCTCTTATATGCCTTGTTAGGTCGGGGTATGGGTCTTTGAGGTTGGGGATTCAACATTTCGGAAGAACTAAACACACCACACATAATATAATAACTCCAGTGTCTCACCAGTTTGATTTTGTTCACCTTGAGGAAGAACATCTCACCGGCTCACCCTCTTTCCGATGCATGCCATTTGAAATTCAAATTGTTATTTTTCTTAAATGGTATCCATATTGCATATAAAAAAAAAATTGATCTTTTAAATGGTATCCATATTGCATATAAAAAAATTGGAAAAAAATTGGAAAAATCGTTTTTCTTAAATCTATTTTTCACCCATCAAAAGAGGGTGAACATGTCACTCACCCTATTGGGTTGCCACATGGCATGTCAGTCTTTTTAATTTTGAAATTGTTATAACTATTTCATTTTTGGTTCATTTAAAAAAATTCAATATTTTGAACTTTTTTCGGTCTTTCATGAGGTGCCAATATTGTATATGTAATGTGTAAGAACATCCGGGTGTTCTCGTTTCTCACTCACACGGGGTGTGAGTTTTTATAAAATGAAAAAATGAAAATGCTACTCCCTTAATGTCATAATTTATTCTTATTTTGACTTGACACATAGACTAAAAAAAGTGGAAATTGTATGATCTAAAGTTGTGCATAGGAAATAAAAAATGTTGTAAATCGCATATTCTTGGTCATAAAATAAATTAAAGAAATTAATAGTCTACATTATGACAGACAAAAAAAAAAGATTAAAGTTTTGTTTGGAACGTAGAGAGACATGATATTATCATAAGAAGTAAAATGTGATAGTAATCTACTCATACTAGCTAGACCTTGTGTCACGCCCCAGACCGCGTCTGTGCCACGTGGACAACCGTCGTACAACCCAATAAGAATAACCGCAGTTCATCCTTACCGAATTGCACAAGACGTCCGATAGATACATATGCCAAAACCGATTAGTAAACATACATAACAACATCAACATACAATCAAACACATAGCGGAATATAAGTGTTTTAATAAGAACCCACACAAGGGTAAAACAAGAGCTCGCAGGCTCCATTAATTTATAAGTCAAAATAGTTCCATGAGCATTATTTAATTATTTAAAAATGGAACGAGAGGAAGCACGAACCACGTCTTCTCTCCATCGATCTCCCGAGCAACGGGTGCAGGAAGTAAGCTCTAGCTTCAACCTGAAAGGGTGGTTCCCCCGAGGGATCAGTACTACAGAAAAGTACTGGTGAGGGCAAACTGTATGTAATGTAACTAACGTTTCTCACGTGAGACCCTCAAAATAGGGTGATAGTATAATTATGGGCATAACTCTTAGCTACCCCTTTTCAAAACAAAATGTATACATATATACATATGAGTAAAATATCTGGCCCGTGGGCCCATTTGTCTTTCAAATCATTTAGGCATAACAGCCTTATTAAATTCACCCTTCCCAAGTCTTACCCTCGAGTGGAGTCACCCGCAGGCTGACTCACCCGATATCAAAATATAATTACTGTGGGGGCCCTTCGGACTCCCATATCACGGACATGGTTTAAATCAATTCCTAGACCAAGGAAAATATCCTATCGGAAACTCGTTCCCGATCAAGCACGTTTAATCATTTAAAATCATTACCTTGAGGTTCACCTACCTCGAGGACTAACCGTCCTTACAATCATAGTTTACATTCCCGGGGCTAACCCCGCCTTGAGGAGTACGCATACACCCTCATCCTACGTGTAATTTGCTGGAGGTTAACACACCTCAAGGACTACACGGGCCCTTGTTACCTATGTGCAATTTGATGGAGGATACCACACCTCAAGGACTGCACTTGCCCTTGTTACCTATGTGTAATTTGCTGGAGGATACCACACCTCAAGGACTACACGGGCCCTTGTTACCTATATGCAATTTGATGGAGGATACCACACCTCAAGGACTGCATTTGCCCTTGTTACCTATGTGTAATTTGCTGGAGGTTAACACACCTCAAGGACTACACGGGCCCTTGTTACCTATATGCAATTTGATGGAGGTTAACACACCTCAAGGACTGCATTTGCCCTTGTTACCTATGTGTAATTTGCTGGAGGTTAACACACCTCAAGGACTACACGGGCCCTTGTTACCTATATGCAATTTGATGGAGGTTAACACACCTCAAGGACTGCATTTGCCCTTGTTACCTATGTGTAATTTGCTGGAGGTTAACACACCTCAAGGACTACACGGGCCCTTGTTAACATTTGAGTATAAAGGACTCCTCCTGGTCCTACAGAGTTTTACCCAACCTTACTCGGTCCCGGGTATTCACCCGCCATGTATAATCTACCACGTACCTCGCCCGGTCGTGGTCTATAATTTCTTTACTAACGACTAGTCCAAGTCTTAGCGTTTAAACCGTATTTGAAGCCTTAGCAACCAATGTGGACGGGTCCCACCCGAACGACCCACGTTAACCTGCTCAAAACTGCCTGTTTTGGGCCTAGTCCAATACCCGGTCGGGTATCCAATCTCACCCGGTCGGGTAGGTCGGGGCAGAAGCCCCTGGAACTGATTTTACTTGAGACCCGGTCGGGTCCATACCCTTACCCGGTCGGGTCTAGTAAGACAGTGGCTTCTGGAGCCATTTTTAATCAATACCCGGTCGGGTATGTACCCATACCCGGTCGGGTATCACCTTTGCCTCGGCGGTCAACGCCCGTTTGACCGCCCAAACGGAGTCCGATTAACGCGAAATTTTATACGCATGTACTCCTTGACGTCCTTGATCCAAAAATACCAATTTGGATCCTTGGAGCATTGTACATAATAAGTTATCACATTTTTAATAATCAAACATACAAAACATGCCTTTCAACTATGTTTTATATACAACCATGGCATAAGCCAATACTTGATTAACTTTAGTCATTCCATAAAATATATACTTGATTACTTTAGGTAATCTCATGCCTCAATCAAAAGTTATAAAGCATATAGCCGTCTTCTCATAACTATTAATAAGTACTTCATACTTATTAATCATTTATATATTTCATTCTAGTTTATTCTTCAAACTAGATTTAATTTAATGACACATATGATTATGTACTTAAATCCTTCAAGAATACCATCTTGAATTACCTTAACCAAATCATCCATGATTATCGTTCATCAAAATATTAATAATTCTTTTACTCATTAATCATGCCATTTTCACATAACTTATGCTCATTATAGCTAATCACATGTTTAACACTTTTAAACATTTCTATACATATTCACATGCTAGATTACTCTAGTCATCTCATACATAGTCCATGTATGCATTTTTTTATACATTTGACAATAATATATTCATGATTAATCCACAAATAAATCTCTTATTCATTAATCATGTAATATTTCCATAATTCATAATTAATATGGATAATCACAAGTTCACATATCTTTTCATATATTCATGTACTACATTACTCTAGTTAGTTTCATGCATGGTCCAAATATACCTTCTTATATATTTGAGAAAAATATATTCATGATTAATTAATAAATTAATCTATTTTTTTCATTAGCCATACTCACCATGACTAATCATGCATTTTAATACATTTAATCATTTCTCAAATCATGGTTATGATTTTATTTAGGTAACCTCACGTTTCGAACCAAGAGTTACAAGACACGTAGTCGTCCACTCACCTTGAAATGGCGCTAGCAAGCTTTTATCTTCTTTGTTTGAACTCCGGCGACTTTTGAATTTTCCGGCGAAAACTCCGGCGGCTCCGGCGACTTTCCGGCCACTCCTAGGTTCCTTGAGAAGTCTAGAATACCTTGGTAAAATTCCTAACAAGGTTTCACAACCAAAAGTGGTATAAACGTCAAAACCTTCCAAGAAGGTGTTTTCCGGTGAACCGGTCTTACTCCGGTCATAACTCCGTTCGTGGTTAAACTGAACCTTCCAAACCATCATTCTACACCTCTAAAAGTGTAGAACAAGATTAAAAGTCTATCATATGATTTATGAAATCATATGAGATTAAAAAAATGAAGGAGAAAAATACTAATGAAGTCATTACCTTGATTTTAATAAGTTTTTCTCTTCTTTTCCAAGCTTTTCTTCTTCCTTGAGCCTCCTTCAAACATGAGCTCGGTTCATGGCTATGGAGAGGGGTATTTGCAGAGGTTATCTCTTTATTTATATGGCCTAATTCGGATGGGAGAATAAGGGAAAAGTCAACACACTCTTTGGCACCTTTCTCACAATCAAAGTAAATGAGAAGACCCACCCATGTCCTTTTATGCCAATCAATTCAAATCCCATACCATGCATCTCTCCACCATCCTCCAGCCCACATCTCGGCTGATTGGTAGCATAATTACGTGGGATGGCCCCCACCCATGTGGGTGGTCATCCCAATATGTCCCGAAATGTGCGTTCGGCCCCGAAAGTTGTATTTTCTGGACTGTTTTAATTAAATTTCATTTTATCGGGTCAAATAAAATATGTATCATTCTTCCAATTAATATTGGCATCTAGAATGAATATATATTATCCCACTTTAATTTCGTGGTCGCCGAAATTAATTTCGGGCTGTTATCTGTTTAATTACCTATACCGGTAATGGGACCTCGTTTGATCGAAAGGCCAACTTTATGGCTCAACATTTATTTACAACCTCATATAAATATTATCTAGACCAAGATGAATATAATATGTGGTCCGTAAATATCGGATGGTCGTCACCCACGTGTGGGCCCAACGTGTATTTTACTGTTCAAGTAACAGTAAAAATGAGAACGCGTTGCCTCGAAAATTCACTCATCATTTCTCATTACTTAATATGTGGTTTCATATTTGGTGACACTTTAATAAATTGTTACGCTTATTTTTAAGTGGTCCGAACTGTATGAACAGATAAAATCTTATCTGTTTATTCTTATACGAAAATATCTTCAAGGTAGGGTCCTCCAAAAGTACCCACCTCTAATATGTCAAGTTACTCATTATTATCCATATTTTGTGTTCTTAAAATATTTGTATTCCCTCTGTATTAATTTGTAGCCTTTCGAATTATTATCAGTCCGATAATTAAAGACTCACAATTATCGGATAGTGACACCGACCCGCTCGGCCGTCTAGTTGTCATTCTTTATATTACCGAGGTCCATGAACCATTCATACTATCATAATAGTATCATTTTGATAAACATTAATATTTTATAAACTCGAAATATCATGAGTGGTCCCCACGTCTAAATTAATAATCCTTTATTAATTTAAGACAAAATTTTTACTTTCTCCTTTATCAAGACTACTCTTAGCCTTGATTTACCTTCTTTAACCCAGTACTTGATGAAAAAATTTCTCACAGTAAAATTCGGGTCCGATGTTACAAGTTCACCCCACCTTACAGGAATTTCGTCCCCGAAATTAACGTCTGAACCTTGAGAAACATTTCTCCCTTCATTTTCTGAAGCTAAAAATTTTGAACATAAAAATATTTATGGAACTTAAGGTTTAATTTAATAATACCTTATGCCATAGTCGGGCCTAACAAATGGTTTCCGCCATTCCCGGCCTTCACGAGCGAGTTCGCCATTGACTTGTAGAAGGTACCATGTTTGAGGCAACCCTAGTTGGGTTTTCAACCCCCGTGACCCCTCCTCTAGCTCCTGATGTTCCTTCACGCGTACGTTGAGGACAAAGGACCTTGATGTGGCCTGTTTCTCCACAAAAGTAACATCTAGATGGCTCTCGACATCTCCCGTAGTGCCTTCGCCTACAATTCTCACATTTGGGTGCCCCCATGCCCCGAGTGCTTGAGCTTTGACTTACCAAGTCCTGGCTCTCACTGACAAACGGAACTAACTTGTTAGAGTTCCCCTTGCTCTGAAGTTCATACTTCCCCTCTCGTCGTGGAGGGTGAATGATCACCTGGGCTCTTTCTTCTGCTTCCTTTGCATCCCTTGCTTGCCTTTCCTTCCAAAGCTCCTCCCCCTGGAGACCCTGAGCTACTACCTGACTGAAAGTCATGTTGAATTGGTAGGTCGCCCTTTCGCGTATTTCCAAATTGAGTGCATTCCAAAAATGGTTTGCCATTCGATTCTCATTTGCGGCATACTCAGGCAAGAACCTTGCCAGATGTCGCAATCTTTGTTCCAGTTGCTTCACCGTAAACTCATTTCCCTGTTTGAGATCGATATATTCCCTCCTCTTTCGATTTACTTCGAAAGAGGTGTAAAACTGCTCATAGAATGCTTGCTCGAAGTTGTCCCACGTGACAACCCCGTCAAACTTAACCTTGGTGCCTTCCCACCAAGTAGAAGCTAAACCCTCCAATAATCTAGTGGCTACCCTTAACTTTCGTTCAGGGACCACCTGCATGTCATCAGCTGCATCATTCAACCTTTTTATCCACTCGGCTGCTTCCGATATGTCCTCTGTCCCATCAAATGGTTTGCACCCCAAGGCTCTAGCCTCTTTGAGATACTTTGAGATTTTAAAGAGTGGTCCTTCACCATCAGAATCTCTGACTGTCCTAACTTGTGCTCTGTGAGCACCCCGACCCCTCCTGAGAGAAGTCTCGCCTCTGACATGTCCCTCCTGAGATCCCTGTCGTTGTCTTCCCCTTTCACGTCGGTACCATCGGTACATTTCACTAACCTGGTCAGGAGGAATACTATGTATATCCTCCCCACTGTTATCTTCAAAAGAAGTTTCATCTGACTCGCTTTCAGGGTGATAAGTTGAGTCATCCTCCGAGTTCCACGACTCGAATTCAGTCACATTGTGATCAGCCATCGCGGCTCGTGTTCGTGGGCCTTGATTGCCCATACCTCGCCTCTTACGCGACATTGATATCCCCCGATTGGCTTGCCCGGCTATCCCCGGTGCGCGCCCTCTCGGATTTCCTCGAACCGCCCTATCACTACCACCCATTCCTGAAAGAATATGTTGGAATGAGTCTTTGGACTCGTTTGAATGTCAATTGACAGAAACGTACTCAAGACACACCTTGGATCAAGTCACTGCCATACCAATTGTTAAGGGGCCCATCTTAACAACCAGAGACCTTGCAACTCGATAACCAAATGCTCTTAAAGTACAAAACTTATGCTCATGGTTTTTCATTGAAAACTGTTTTGATAGAAACTCTGTTGAGAGGTTGACTATATAGTTTAGAAATCGTTTGGCTCTGATACCACTTAATTGTCACGCCCCAGACCGCGTCTGTGCCACGTGGACAACCGTCGTACAACCCAATAAGAATAACCGCAGTTCATCCTTACCGAATTGCACAAGACGTCCGATAGATACATATGCCAAAACCGATTAGTAAACATACATAACAACATCAACATACAATCAAACACATAGCGGAATATAAGTGTTTTAATAAGAACCCACACAAGGGTAAAACAAGAGCTCGCAGGCTCCATTAATTTATAAGTCAAAATAGTTCCATGAGCATTATTTAATTATTTAAAAATGGAACGAGAGGAAGCACGAACCACGTCTTCTCTCCATCGATCTCCCGAGCAACGGGTGCAGGAAGTAAGCTCTAGCTTCAACCTGAAAGGGTGGTTCCCCCGAGGGATCAGTACTACAGAAAAGTACTGGTGAGGGCAAACTGTATGTAATGTAACTAACGTTTCTCACGTGAGACCCTCAAAATAGGGTGATAGTATAATTATGGGCATAACTCTTAGCTACCCCTTTTCAAAACAAAATGTATACATATATACATATGAGTAAAATATCTGGCCCGTGGGCCCATTTGTCTTTCAAATCATTTAGGCATAACAGCCTTATTAAATTCACCCTTCCCAAGTCTTACCCTCGAGTGGAGTCACCCGCAGGCTGACTCACCCGATATCAAAATATAATTACTGTGGGGGCCCTTCGGACTCCCATATCACGGACATGGTTTAAATCAATTCCTAGACCAAGGAAAATATCCTATCGGAAACTCGTTCCCGATCAAGCACGTTTAATCATTTAAAATCATTACCTTGAGGTTCACCTACCTCGAGGACTAACCGTCCTTACAATCATAGTTTACATTCCCGGGGCTAACCCCGCCTTGAGGAGTACGCATACACCCTCATCCTACGTGTAATTTGCTGGAGGTTAACACACCTCAAGGACTACACGGGCCCTTGTTACCTATGTGCAATTTGATGGAGGATACCACACCTCAAGGACTGCACTTGCCCTTGTTACCTATGTGTAATTTGCTGGAGGATACCACACCTCAAGGACTACACGGGCCCTTGTTACCTATATGCAATTTGATGGAGGATACCACACCTCAAGGACTGCATTTGCCCTTGTTACCTATGTGTAATTTGCTGGAGGTTAACACACCTCAAGGACTACACGGGCCCTTGTTACCTATATGCAATTTGATGGAGGTTAACACACCTCAAGGACTGCATTTGCCCTTGTTACCTATGTGTAATTTGCTGGAGGTTAACACACCTCAAGGACTACACGGGCCCTTGTTACCTATATGCAATTTGATGGAGGTTAACACACCTCAAGGACTGCATTTGCCCTTGTTACCTATGTGTAATTTGCTGGAGGTTAACACACCTCAAGGACTACACGGGCCCTTGTTAACATTTGAGTATAAAGGACTCCTCCTGGTCCTACAGAGTTTTACCCAACCTTACTCGGTCCCGGGTATTCACCCGCCATGTATAATCTACCACGTACCTCGCCCGGTCGTGGTCTATAATTTCTTTACTAACGACTAGTCCAAGTCTTAGCGTTTAAACCGTATTTGAAGCCTTAGCAACCAATGTGGACGGGTCCCACCCGAACGACCCACGTTAACCTGCTCAAAACTGCCTGTTTTGGGCCTAGTCCAATACCCGGTCGGGTATCCAATCTCACCCGGTCGGGTAGGTCGGGGCAGAAGCCCCTGGAACTGATTTTACTTGAGACCCGGTCGGGTCCATACCCTTACCCGGTCGGGTCTAGTAAGACAGTGGCTTCTGGAGCCATTTTTAATCAATACCCGGTCGGGTATGTACCCATACCCGGTCGGGTATCACCTTTGCCTCGGCGGTCAACGCCCGTTTGACCGCCCAAACGGAGTCCGATTAACGCGAAATTTTATACGCATGTACTCCTTGACGTCCTTGATCCAAAAATACCAATTTGGATCCTTGGAGCATTGTACATAATAAGTTATCACATTTTTAATAATCAAACATACAAAACATGCCTTTCAACTATGTTTTATATACAACCATGGCATAAGCCAATACTTGATTAACTTTAGTCATTCCATAAAATATATACTTGATTACTTTAGGTAATCTCATGCCTCAATCAAAAGTTATAAAGCATATAGCCGTCTTCTCATAACTATTAATAAGTACTTCATACTTATTAATCATTTATATATTTCATTCTAGTTTATTCTTCAAACTAGATTTAATTTAATGACACATATGATTATGTACTTAAATCCTTCAAGAATACCATCTTGAATTACCTTAACCAAATCATCCATGATTATCGTTCATCAAAATATTAATAATTCTTTTACTCATTAATCATGCCATTTTCACATAACTTATGCTCATTATAGCTAATCACATGTTTAACACTTTTAAACATTTCTATACATATTCACATGCTAGATTACTCTAGTCATCTCATACATAGTCCATGTATGCATTTTTTTATACATTTGACAATAATATATTCATGATTAATCCACAAATAAATCTCTTATTCATTAATCATGTAATATTTCCATAATTCATAATTAATATGGATAATCACAAGTTCACATATCTTTTCATATATTCATGTACTACATTACTCTAGTTAGTTTCATGCATGGTCCAAATATACCTTCTTATATATTTGAGAAAAATATATTCATGATTAATTAATAAATTAATCTATTTTTTTCATTAGCCATACTCACCATGACTAATCATGCATTTTAATACATTTAATCATTTCTCAAATCATGGTTATGATTTTATTTAGGTAACCTCACGTTTCGAACCAAGAGTTACAAGACACGTAGTCGTCCACTCACCTTGAAATGGCGCTAGCAAGCTTTTATCTTCTTTGTTTGAACTCCGGCGACTTTTGAATTTTCCGGCGAAAACTCCGGCGGCTCCGGCGACTTTCCGGCCACTCCTAGGTTCCTTGAGAAGTCTAGAATACCTTGGTAAAATTCCTAACAAGGTTTCACAACCAAAAGTGGTATAAACGTCAAAACCTTCCAAGAAGGTGTTTTCCGGTGAACCGGTCTTACTCCGGTCATAACTCCGTTCGTGGTTAAACTGAACCTTCCAAACCATCATTCTACACCTCTAAAAGTGTAGAACAAGATTAAAAGTCTATCATATGATTTATGAAATCATATGAGATTAAAAAAATGAAGGAGAAAAATACTAATGAAGTCATTACCTTGATTTTAATAAGTTTTTCTCTTCTTTTCCAAGCTTTTCTTCTTCCTTGAGCCTCCTTCAAACATGAGCTCGGTTCATGGCTATGGAGAGGGGTATTTGCAGAGGTTATCTCTTTATTTATATGGCCTAATTCGGATGGGAGAATAAGGGAAAAGTCAACACACTCTTTGGCACCTTTCTCACAATCAAAGTAAATGAGAAGACCCACCCATGTCCTTTTATGCCAATCAATTCAAATCCCATACCATGCATCTCTCCACCATCCTCCAGCCCACATCTCGGCTGATTGGTAGCATAATTACGTGGGATGGCCCCCACCCATGTGGGTGGTCATCCCAATATGTCCCGAAATGTGCGTTCGGCCCCGAAAGTTGTATTTTCTGGACTGTTTTAATTAAATTTCATTTTATCGGGTCAAATAAAATATGTATCATTCTTCCAATTAATATTGGCCTCTAGAATGAATATATATTATCCCACTTTAATTTCGTGGTCGCCGAAATTAATTTCGGGCTGTTATCTGTTTAATTACCTATACCGGTAATGGGACCTCGTTTGATCGAAAGGCCAACTTTATGGCTCAACATTTATTTACAACCTCATATAAATATTATCTAGACCAAGATGAATATAATATGTGGTCCGTAAATATCGGATGGTCGTCACCCACGTGTGGGCCCAACGTGTATTTTACTGTTCAAGTAACAGTAAAAATGAGAACGCGTTGCCTCGAAAATTCACTCATCATTTCTCATTACTTAATATGTGGTTTCATATTTGGTGACACTTTAATAAATTGTTACGCTTATTTTTAAGTGGTCCGAACTGTATGAACAGATAAAATCTTATCTGTTTATTCTTATACGAAAATATCTTCAAGGTAGGGTCCTCCAAAAGTACCCACCTCTAATATGTCAAGTTACTCATTATTATCCATATTTTGTGTTCTTAAAATATTTGTATTCCCTCTGTATTAATTTGTAGCCTTTCGAATTATTATCAGTCCGATAATTAAAGACTCACAATTATCGGATAGTGACACCGACCCGCTCGGCCGTCTAGTTGTCATTCTTTATATTACCGAGGTCCATGAACCATTCATACTATCATAATAGTATCATTTTGATAAACATTAATATTTTATAAACTCGAAATATCATGAGTGGTCCCCACGTCTAAATTAATAATCCTTTATTAATTTAAGACAAAATTTTTACTTTCTCCTTTATCAAGACTACTCTTAGCCTTGATTTACCTTCTTTAACCCAGTACTTGATGAAAAAATTTCTCACAGTAAAATTCGGGTCCGATGTTACACCTTGCACATGAGGAATATATCCTAAAAAATTAATTTTAATTTGTGTATTAATGAAAAAGAAAGAAAACATAGTAAAGGAATGAAGTGAGAGATGATAAAAATTATATAAGCCACTACTTTGTTATTTATTTCTATAATTTACCGATAAATACATATAGCCTGTATCAATCAATTTTGTTACTTATTGTTACAAATGTATGTTAACTTTTTTTTAATTTTTTATTTATTTATGGAGATTTATAGATGGGTAGGCCATAATCATATATGCCTTTGACATATCAGGAAATTCTTTTGAGCGCCAACAAGTAGTCCATCTTGGGTGAGTGCATCAATTGACAAACTTTATTGATGTCCAAGGATACATACACAATTCTGAGTGTTCCAACACATATACAGTAATTATATTATAATTTCAGCATTCTCTTTCTCTGGTGTAGAAAGGTTATTAATAGTTAAGGCAACATCAATATATTCCAAACTCCACATCTTAGCTCAATTATTATTAAAGTGGTAGAAAAGTTTGGACAATGATTATATTGGGGATATATCCTCATTGGCCATGTGAATTGTGAAAGTCATATCTCTTGGGTGTTAGGTTGAACTTCTTGTGCGGTCCAATATGAAATTTACTACTATTAAGATTGGTTAAGTAACTGTGATTTATAGTCTTCAATATGCTATGTAGACTCGGGTTTAGGGGTACTTGGAGTAGGGATTCAAACTTTTTGGATTTTGTTATGAGCATAATGAAGTCATATTTGTCATCTTTTAAAAAGGCAATGAGATTCCTTCATGCATAGTTGGGCTACGCAAACAAAGTTAGACCTCGATGTAGTGAAATGATAAGGCCGGCTGCCCAGCTAGATTAAAAAATAACTTTGTTTTCAGACTACACCAAGTCACCAGTGAATGAGAAAGAAGACACATACAAAATACACGATTCAATATTGCCGACTAATCCCACTATGCGACTCTTGGCATTTATGCATAAATAAACAATAATAGTGTTCCCATTTTGCGTGATTGAAGTATTCCACTATTCCAGTAACTATATATAGTATCTTCGTTTTTTGTCCTTTTCAGAATATTATAAAGGCTTAATATACATTTTAAATCCCTTGGAATATGACACCCTTTATTTTATATTCCTACAAAAGATTTTTTTCCATTACTGTAATATGCACTATTTTGTTTCACTCTATCTCAAACTCTGAAATCACTCACTTGAGAAAAACATTATTTTTTATTACACAATTTACTAGAAACTTTTAAATTTATTCTTTTTTTTAGTCCTAGTCATGGCTCTTGGGGACATGAATAATGAGTGAGGTTGTGTGTATGCCATGCTGATGCAGGTAATAGTTTACCTTATTTAGAAACTCTTGTGTATTTTGGCAACTGTTATTATACGTATAGTAGTATTATAAATATACCTGTCAAGACTCCTATTGGAGACTTGGAGTATCATTTCCCATTATTTCACATTAGGGTGATGTTAGCGATGATTTCAGCCCTTGAGAATTGAACTGTGACGTCAACAATGATGTCAACTCTTGGAACTTGAGTCATGATGCTGTCAGTGATAGCAGTTGTGTCGTAAAGATGCAAACCTTGAGGATAGGTGACAGGAATGCCCGAAAAAACAACCAAGTATAAAACTATGACAGAGTTGAGGAGGCCAGGATCAAATCCCATGCCAATGGTCTCCACTAGTGGCGTTAGTGTAAGATCTCGGACAATGATAACTAGGCTTGGCCTCGTTCGTGATGAGACTCATCCCGGACAAGACATGATAGGCCTTCCTACGAGGAGTTGGGCCTAGACTGTGATACAGGCCTCAGTGACTTGGTGTGGGCCTCAACCCTCTGCGTCGATGACTTGGGCCTGACCAGTTTTGATTCGTCTAACTTTGGGCCCTGGGGTGTATGACAACACACTCCATCAAAGTGTATTTGAGATCATACACACATGAATATGATCTTATTTTTAACTAATTGATAACTTAAAGTGGTTCAATGCTATGGAATTGGCATGAAAAAATACATGTATACGTAGAGCCTGTTTGGTAATCTGTTTTTCGGCTTATTAGACTTATTGGTCAACTTTTTCACTAAACACGTTAATTTCTTGTTGTATTGGCTGAATTTATTGTGGATGATTCTTTTTAGCTATTTTAACATATATTTTTTATTTATTTTATTAATACAATATATTTTAAATATAATTTTCTCATAAATAAGCAGAATAAGTCAATTCAGCCACTTCAACCAAAATTTTCTAAATTTCAGCAGTATCAATTGATTCAGTCGATTTTGATATTATCAAACGGGCACCATTATACTCCGTATTTTTTTAATATGTCCCCTTACCCGTGTAGTCGTGTTTGTGTTTCTACGTTTTTACGTTTCTATATGATTGCTACGTTTACACTATTCCCAAAAGTTTTCATTAACATTGTTGTTAGCCATTTTGTATGGGAGCATTCTTCCACAAAGCACGGAAATTTCAGACGGCCCATATTTGTCCATTTCCAAATATCCAAAGCATGTAGACTCTCTAAAATTAAAAAAGAGTTGGGAAATATGTTTCGCTAATTATTTAAGGAGTGTTTGCAAAGCTTCTGCTTAAAAAAATACCTTTTGGAAAAAGTGATTAAATAAAAGTTTGAGAAAAAATGTTTGCGAAAAAAATGATTTTGAAAAGTAAAAGTCGATAGTGTTTAGTAAAATAAGTTGTTTTTGTGTAATAGAAAAGGGAAAAACACTTTTCACACAAAAGCCAAGAAAAGTAAAAATTTGTAGTGTTTGGTAAATAAGTGTTTTTTAAGCCAAAAGCCGAGAATGTTTTTTAGCAGTTGTAATTTTAAGCTAAAATTAGAAATTGTTTAATATAGGATCAAAAGATATTCAAAGTACAAAAACCATAATAAGTATGAAGTATATTTTATTCTCCAAATAATATTCATTTAGTGTTATAGTAATTGTCCTAAGTAGCACTAAATGGAAACTTAGTTGCACAAATAGGATTAAAACCTTAATCATTCACAAATACGACTAAACGTTAATTCGTAATATATAACATCGTAAAAGTAATAAAATTCGTAAAAAAAAATAAAACTTAATAAAATATATATATAAATAAAATTTAAAAAATTGAAAATTGATTAAAAATTAATATAAAAAATAGCGAAAACACATAAAAAAAATATGGATGCCTTTCGTACCGTCTCTACTGCCTCATAGCACCACCACCCCGACGATAAAAAATGTCATTATGTGTAAAAAATGACATTTTTTCTGAAAAATGTTGAGAAATGACATTGTTACTCTATGATAATGCCAAATTTTTCACCGAAACTGCCATCAATATGGCATTACTAGTGCATGCTGGCATTTTTTCGGTGATCAGAACTCAGAACTAGTGGAGGCAGAGGTGACGGTAAAGAATTTTACTTTTTTACGTTTTTTATTTAAATTTTTAATTTTTTTAATTTGTAATTTTTAATTTTTCTAATTTTTTCTTTTTAAAAATTTTATTAAATATTTATTTTAGTCTTAAAATCTACATTAATATATTTTCCCAAACACACATGATTAGTCCTATTTAGAGAATTTTAAACATTATAATCCTATTTGTTATTTTTAGGCATGTTGTATTATGAACTTTATCATGACGGAAATAGTCTTTTATAAGATTCCTTATTAGGACACAAGATACTTAGTATAATCATAACACAATGCATTACTGCAAGAATGATCAGGTCCCCACGTTTAGGGTTGTAAACGAATCAAATAATTTTTGCTCGATTCGCGATTCGAATTCGTATAACACTATTCTAATTCGAAAA